ACTCACTTCTTTCTTTGCAGGTACTACTCAAGTCTCATGTTTAGCAATACTGTTTTAAAAATTATGAGTTTTATGAACAATATAATATACATTGAGACATACATATTATATAAATACACTTTAAAATATTCAAATTGTTGTTTACTTGGAAAGTTATTCTGTTAAAATAAAAAGTTGGCATGTGTTGCTATGTGTACCATCACAAACCATCTTGTCTGCCTCCAGTGGAATGCACTTTACACTTGTAGAAACATTAGACTAAACTTTCACCTTCTTCTCTTTGTCCTGTTTTTAATAATTGCCGTTTTCAGGAACCTCAGAGATGAGGGGCAGGAAAACTACAGGCAACTTCTGAAATGTCTAGAGTCCAGCAAGGGAAGCGGAAAGGGGATGTGAGGTTCATGCGCTAATTATTTTTGGACGTTGTTATACTTCATTGAATCATCACAGCTACTTGCTGCCAGGGAAGTAGGTGGAGCTCCCACTGTGCAGATGAGCCAAAGAGACACCCAGAGGTCAAGAGATTCACCTAAGGATGCACACCCAGTGCTGCCTGGCTTATCCTCCAAAGCCCCTTTTCCCTTGCTGCCGCTACCGCCGCCCTGGGTGTCCTTGCTTGTTGGTTTCTGTCTACATCTCTGATGATTAAAAGAAAGTGGATTTAATGCATAAGTCCTTTAGGCTGTAGGGTTAGTAGTCATTCTCAGCTCTGTTTCTTCCCTGCTGCTAGTATAGGGTCAAGACGATTAACCTCTGTGATCCATAGATTTCTTATCTATAGGACAAGAGATAAAAGTGTCTGCCTTATGACAAGGATTAAATATGTTAATATACCTAAGTGCTTAGTACAGTATCAGCCACATAATAAACACCATATCATGTCTTCTGTTATTATTTTTATTGATTTGGCTCCTAAATAAGTGCTCTTAGAGACGAATGGGTGAGTTCTCCAGTTGAAGGGTTTCTCTCTTATTCTGCATTTTATCTGGTTCTTCCCAATTTCTAGATTTGCAGTGATTTTTGAATGATCCAACATTAATTTAAGATAGCTGACATCCTGACATGAAAGGATGACAGAAAAGGGTGATAGGGCAGACATGTAAGCTCCTGGGGTGTTGATTTTTGTTATTCTCTAAGGTCAATAATCAGCATTGTTGGTTTTGGTGGTTTTCTGAGTTTGATGTACAACATACACCATGTATACTAAACTCAGAAAATCACCTGTGGAGTTAAAAATTTTCAGATATCTGGAGATTACCTCTGATCTATTGGATCATGAGGTTCAGGGAACAGGCTGTCTTTCTCAAACTTCACATGGTGCTGACAGTCACCAAAATTGGAGAATCTCTGGTGCATTGTATTCTCTTTAGTTAGACTTGAGATCATATGTAAGTGTATTAGTAAAGTCACATATTTTTATTGACTATTTTCATCTCCTAAGCACTACTTTCTGGTGAGAGAGTTTGAGGAGAATCAGTCAAATAAATTTAACAAGAAAACATAAAAATGGCAATAAGATTTGTGCTAAAACAATGATGATGTGAGTGACTGAGGTCTTCCTTTAGAGAAAGTAGTCAGGGAAAGAAGGCATCTCTGAGGATCTGGGCTGGAGGCTGATAAGAAGGAGCCTGTTCCAGGAAGATCTGGGGTAGAGACCTGAGGCAGGGAATACAGTGGCTGCAAAGGCCCTGGGGCAGAAATGAGCAGATGGCAAATGCGAGTCTAGTTTGGGGGTGGGAAGCGGCACAGGTTAAGAGGAGGCTGGAGAGTTACCAGAAGAGATCAGATCACTGGAGCTTAGTGGGGCTGAGTAAAGAACTGGGCTTTTATTTAAAATGTTATGGGGTACACCGAAGAGTTTTGAGCAGAAGTGCAATATAATCTGATTTATATTTTTAAAGAATTGCACTGGCTACTATGTGGAGAATGGATTTTTAGTGGAGGTGGGGGCAGATAAAAATTGTTTTCAGCCGGAGAGGCTAGAGTAAGTTCAACAGTTTATCTTAAATAAGGACAACAGGCAGCGAGTTCTCAGGACTCAGAGAATCAAGCAATGCCAGGATTCTGCCTCGGGATGGGGGTGAGAAGTGAAAAATGAATTAACAAATAGATTAAAATCATAGTGTGCTTTTACTCCCAACAATTAAGCATTTTCAAATGTGACTTTCCTGCTGCTTAAAATGTCCACTGAGTTCCCAGTTGAGAATCTGAGAAAGCAGTATGGAGGAGACAGTGGCGTCCCACGTTCAGGGTTGTTCACTAGAGAAACGGATGCCTCTGTAACTTTCCTCTTTGATGCACTCCCCACGGCCACTCATGGGTTTTGGAAAATTTATAGCAAATTAAATAATTGATTGTGCCTTTTGATTTTTGTGAGATCTCTCTGGAAACTCTGCTGGGAACATCTGGACCTGTCAATGGTAGAAACATGCATCAAATTCTCTATGCATGGCAACACATGGCTCCCGAGTCATTGGGTCCCAGCACAAAGGTCCCTGTGTCTTCATGAAAGGTGCTAGGACACTGGGTTGGATTTGGGAGTGGGGGCTGGCCAGCCTGAGTTCAAGTCTTCCTATCTTTACTTACTGGCTGAGTTCCTATAGGCAAGCTCCTTCACCTCTCTGAGTGTCACATGCCTCATCTGTTAAATCAGGATAACCATGGTATCTACCTTGCAGGGTTATCACAAGCAGCAAATGCCTGTGAAGTGCTTAGCATAGTCCCTGGCGTGGGGTCAGCATTCTATGCAGAAGAGTACTTTTACTAAGCATGATGCTCATTTGAAAATCCTCTCTGCCCTTGCCCTTTAAGATGGGGGTCCCCTGACCAGCAGCCACATCCCCTAGGAGCTTGTCAGAGTTAGAAATGCAGATTCTTAGTCCCCACCTTGGACCTGCTGAGTCAGATTCTGCACTTGCACAAGATCCCAGATGATGCTCGTGAGCCTTGCAGTCTAGAAGCACCCTGCGAACTAAAATATATAGGTAGGGTGGGGGGATCCGTGTTGATGAAGAAAACAAAGCACAAGAGCCCCAGGATGCAGAATTCACCATGACCCTAACCGTCCAGGCATCCTGGACAAACACGTCACTCTTCCAAGACTAAATTTCTTCTTTTGTAAAATGACTCACCTATTTTAGAGGTTTGTTAATAGGATAAAATGAAATAATGTGAAAACTAATATATGAGTAAAAAGTAAGTTATTTTTTATCTTGTTTACATAGAAAAAAGACATCATAATCTCTATAATTATTCATACCACTTTTGAATAATTAGATTCTCCATTCTCACATTTACCCACTGAGTGGCCATGGACAAGTCCTGTAATTTAGTGTCTTGGTGAAAATAATGGGGAATGACAGTGGACTGGGAACCACAAACCTGATATTTTTGGAAACTAAATGGCAGAGTTTTGTAGTTTGGCTAAAAGGCATTGCCCTAGAAAAGACTAGCAGTGTGATCCATGGGGCTGTTTATGCCACTTACAAAGTCATCACTGAATTGCAGTGTAACATATGACGGCCATGTGCAGGAGTCACCAGAATGATTCCAGGTGGCGAATTTCAGTGTAATAAACATTGAGAAGCCACAAAAGCTTTTTATTCTTTCCAAACATCATAATCAAAGCAAGAAAGGGATGATTTTGTGTATATTAGCAGAAAAGCTTCATGTACAAAAAACCCCCAAGCTATTATAACACAAGGTAAGCACACAACTGCACCCCAAGACACAGGTTAATATAAGAATTTATGACACGGGGAGCTATGAGGACAGCCAGAAAGCACAAACTGAAGTTACCTAGGGCTGAAAAGGATCTAACAGCGCTTAGTGCTAGTCAGCCAATCTCACCCTGGGTTCCCAGGAGTGAATTCCTGTACTTGACAAGGTATAGATGCTGATAACAGGGTCACCCAACTGTAACACATGCCAAGCAAAAGGAGAAAAGAATCAAAAAGACTTTCTCTTTCATAGATAGTGTTGAAGAAGTCCTGTGATAGAGATGCAATTACTATAAGCAAAAACAAGAGTTCCCAAGAAAGCCACACAGTGCTGCTACAGTTCCTCAAACTATCTTAAGCTACAGTAAAGCAATTTCTTGTGAGATGTGTATGTACATATATATATACATGTAACCCCCAACTCATGATTTCCTTTCTTGTTTTAAAGGCAGAAAATAAATAATAGAAAAAAGAAGTTATTTTAAAAAGGGTAATTTATACCTTAAAATAGCAAGGTATCAACATACAAGTACATAGGTATATTCTGATTGTCCAAAGCACTTTCTTTTGTTAGCATTTTGAAGGTTATCTAGACTTAATCCGTAAAAACAAAACAGCAATAACAAATACCAACATAGCAACAGAAAAATAGAAGTGGACTACATCGTCATGCTACCTTTGGGAGTGGGAGCAGATGAAGGGATGTATGGGTAAGAAAAGGGGAAAATGGCATAGCATTGCTCCTTTCTGAAAGAGACAGTTGTCTCACTGTAAATAGAATAATAGAGTAGAACTCAGTCTCCTATGGAGTTATAAGTGCAAAACTATCTATCCATGTAGCCAGCAGCAGGAGTTCGTAGCTGTAAGAGGTTTGCTTGCAAGAGATCTGAACCACTCTGATTCATGAGAATCCTTCAGTCTGATCTGGCCTGGAGCGTGAAGACGTGGATGTGGAGCAGATGAGCAGACAGGCGTCACACACCCTGGGTGTTTGGGAATGAGTGCAGGGAGCATGCAGAGAAGCCTTCACTGATTTCTCCCAGTGACTATTTGGGAAATCAGAGTTTGTGACTTACCCACTTTGGAATCTGTTCAGAGAGCCTGTTATTCACCATTTTCCCCTTTAAAAGGCTTTGTAAACTTCAAAACAAAAGGCAGATACCATCATGGCTGTTAACCCATTTTTATATCTTCCAAGTATTTTTTTTTCTTTCTGAACATCTTGGCTGGATGGAGGGTCAGAAGTGACCCGACTGATGATCTTCTCCCCAGCCCCGCATCCTATCCCAAGTTCATGCCATTGCAGCCGCAGAGAATCTCCTTGAAGGTGTTGCGCAGTTCCAGGCTCCGGAAGGCATAGATGAGCGGGTCGATGATGGAGTTGCACATGATCAGGACCAGGTAGGTGTTGAAGTGGGCGGTGTAGCAGATGCAGTAGGGGTTGGTGGGACAGGTGATGATGAGGACCAGGTGGAGGAAGAAGGGGGCCCAGCAGAAGATGAACACGCCCAGGAGGATGGTGATGGTGACTGCCCCCTTCATGCAGGAGTGCTGTTGTGGGGCCGCCCCGTCGGCGGGTGGCAGTGCTGCTATGCGCTTGATGTGCAGCCGCGCGAAGAGGAACATGTGCACATAGAGGGTGCCCATGAGGAGCATCATGGCGAAGAACATGGTGATGAGGCACACGATGACCATCTTGCTCTCTGAGTAGATGATGAACACCACACCACAGATGCCGCAGCAGACCCAGATGGCCACGATCAAGGTGAGGGCCTTCCTCACGGTCATGATGCTGTGGTAGCGGAGCGCGTAGAAGATGGTGACATACCTGTCGACGGCGATGGCCAGGAGGTTGCAGATGGAGGCCACCAGGGAGATGCAGATCATGGAGTCAAAGATGTTGTCCATGTGCTGGATGAACTGGTCCTCCAAGGTCAGGTAGTCGCTGTGGACAATGGCGATCATGATGGTCTCCAGGGCATTGGACACACTTACCAGCATGTCGGCCACCGCCAGGCTGCACAGGAAGAAGTACATTGGAGAGTGCAGGTTGCTGTTCCTGACTACGGCCAGGATAACCAGGATGTTTTCCACCAGACTAATGATGCCCAGGGTCAGGAAAACCTCGGGCTTGATAAAGACCTGCTCGCAGAACGTGCTGCTGCTCTGGTTGCTGAAGGAAGGGGCTTGGAGGTGCTCTGAGCCATTAGGCAGCACTGGCTGAACAGAGAGCAGGCAGCAGGAAGCGTTCATTGCTGGCTGAAGGGCTAATCTGAGCTGGGGCTCCAGCAGGGTCCGTAGGAAGCTGCTGCTGCTCACAGGAAAGAAAAAAATCTCCCTCCAGATACTTCTTTTGGATGCTCATTCAGTCTGGACTCAGATTTTGTTTTTTTCCTATAATAAAAGGATGGGGAGGGAAGAGAGAGAGATAGTGAGAGAGGGTGGGGGAAGAGACAGGGATGTATACACAGAGAAAAAGAGAGAGAGACGGGGTAAGAGAGAGAGGGAGCAAGAGAGAATAGCTAGTTAGTAGCTAGCAAGCAAGTTAGTAGCTTGGAGACATACAGAGAACTTTGCTCTTCCAGGAGGAGCAGTTTCTACCATGTTTATACAGAAAAAAAGACATCATAGGGTCTCTTACCAGCTGTCTTCTTTCTGTCTCCCTCTTACCCCTCTCTTTGTCTCTCCTCACTTACCCATCTGGGAACAGAAAACCTGCCACCGGTTGCTACAGTTACAGCTCTTTTCATGGGAAGGCAGGGGATGTGTTACCTGTTGCTAGAAGTGAAGGGAGAACACTCAGGTTTTTTTATATTGGCCAAGGGCAAACAACTCCTACTTAATCTTCAGTGCAGCAGAATGACCACTGAGCATCGGGCGCCTCTCTGACTGACAGCAGGTATCTGGCCCTGAGGATTTTGCAGGGAGATTAAGAAGCAGACTGGTGCCCTCTGCAGGCCGCACTGCTGTCTGCTTGCTGGCTTGGCCGAGCTGTTTGTGTTTGTCATGGAAACTGCCACAGGCATCCACTCATCTGTTCATTTGTTTATTCTTCATTTGCTGTTGTTGCTGTTTAGCAAACATTTGTTGAGTGCCTACTATGTGTCAGGTCTCTGCTGAGGTGCAGGAAATACAGTGGTGAGCAAGACAGCAGCCACTGTCTCAGGCTTTCCCAAACAGTGGAAGAAGAATCAATGAATGCTTGAATCAGGAAAATCCAGGAAACCAGGGATGCAAAGAGGAAGAGCCCTATACTGGATGATCAAAGAAAATTCCTGTAGGAAGGAGCACCTATGCTTTGACTTCAAGGAGGAAGAGGCCATATCTATTCTGGGGTTGGGGCTGGAGCTGGAGGAGGTAGAAGAGGATTTCAGGTAGAGGGAATCACACGCCTGCAACCTGGAGGCAGAGAGCACCCTGGCCATAGGACTCATCACAGACTGTGGATGTGGGGATCCCGTCTGACCCCCGGAGTCAGAGTCACCCAGGTGTAAGACCTGGACAAGTGTGTTTGCAATTTTTGACAGGTGAGCTGGGGCATAGTCACAGTTGAGCTCCACTGAAAAAGAATCTTAGGCTTTTTGAAGCACTGAAAGTAGTCTGCTCTGGTCAGAGCATGGAAATGAGAGACACAATCTGAGAAATGAGACTGCAAAAGTTTCTTTAAAAGGTGAGAAGTACCTGAATCCTGAAGGACAGTCTCAGCCAGATGTGGGAACAGTACCTTGGACAGCACCTTGATGGCGGTGGGGGCTGTGGAAGAAATGTAGCTAGCACAGGAATGAGATGGGGTGTGCATTTTAGAAATATTCCTGGTTGTAGGGTGGAGAATGAATTCGAAGGAATGAGCATGTAGGCCAGGGGATCCGGGACAGAGGATGCTGCAAAGACCCAGGGTGAGATGATGGTGGGCTAGAGCAAGGGAGTGGCCATGGGGACTTGGAGGGTGGTCAGAGAATATTCAGGAGGCCGGATAGTGCAGTTTCAAAACTGATGGGTTATGGGACCACAGGAGAGGGAGCAGTCAGAAGCGCTTCTACTTCTTTCTCACATAATAGGGAGGATGGACATGTTTTAAGCTGGAAAATGTGAAAGGCAGAAGTTAGCAGGTGGTATTCTAATGTAGTGTTGTTCTTGGAAGTATGGTTTAACACTTGGTCCATGTTAGATTCGATTTCGTGTATAGTCCATATGAACTCAGAAAACACTGAGTTTTCTCAGCTGTATTCTCTCTCTCTCTCTCTCTCTCTCTCTCTCTCGATGAATTAATGGTCCATCTGTCCATGTAACTATGTATGTGTGTCTATGTGTGAGAAATATTAAAAAGATGCATATGGAAATAGAAGAAAATTTAGGATCCTTGGGGTAGAGAGATCTTAAGCAAGATGAGCAATCCAAAATTTAGTATGGAAAAACACCATGAACTAAATTAAAAGAAAAACAGGATGAAAACATTTGCTATAGGTAAAGTTGCTATTTCTTATATACAAAGACCACTTTCACATTAATAAGAAAATGATAAATTGCCTCTAAGAAAATTGGGCAAAGGATATAGATAACAATTTACTGAAGAGGAAATTCAAATGATTAATAAATATGAAAAGATGTGAAGTCTTCTAGGAAGTCAGGGAAATGCCAGTCAGAATGAGATTTTAATATCATTTTCCTAGCTAGATTGACAAGAAATAAAAAGAAGCTAAAATTTTTGGGAAGATACTCATGCATTTCTAGTGTTTGTGAGTAGTTTCACCATTTGGAAGTTTTTACTAAAGTAAAAAATACATGTCAGTTTGAGTTTCAGTCTATGAATTGAGGGGCAAGAAAAATACTTCTATTTATTTGCTTTTTTAGAAAACATTTTTGTCAGGAGCATGAGTTCAAGTTGCTCTGAAAATACACTTCCACTTCTGTTTATTTTCAGCAGAACAACTTAGTTTCTGATACCAATCCACCATTCTTCCAGGTTGGAAAAAAACACATTCTTAATCCTTTTGGGAACTTCTCTCACCCTCGGGGTCACATCCAGTCTGTGGTTTCAATGGCACTAGTCGTGCAAAGCTAGACTATAAGGCAGGCACCATTCATTCTCTACTAGGTCTTTTCCTGCTCTGTGCTTGGCATGCACTGAGTTCAGATCCCCTTTTCCTGCTTTCATTCTCTGGTCTTGTGCAGCCTTCAAAGAGAGCAGATGGGACCTAGCACTTAAAACCTGTGTCCTCAGAGGTATCATCGTCACTATTGAGTGTTCATTTGGTCCTCTGCAAACACTACTCCCCACTTTCCTGGGGGAGTTGCACAGATGCAGCATTACATTTTAATTGAATCTTATGTAAATGAATTGGCTTTATTAATAACAATTGCAAGACATGACAGTCTCCGTCAGTGTTTACCATATGTTGTTGGCATATGTGGGGGTGTTGTTTTGACTCAGTTATAATAAACTGTAACAGGAAGATTCTTATTCTAGGAGAAAATCCACCCAGGTGATCTCTGTGCCTGAAAAGCTCTTCCTCAATTTTGTGCCTGGTATACCCTCCTTATTCTTCAAGATCCAGCTTAAATGTCAACTATTTTTTTTTACAGCTTTCCTTAAATTTCATACACCAGTTTACCACCCTCTCTCCTTGCTGACAAGCTGACAGGGTTCAGCACTCCTTCCCCACTCTCAAAAGCACAAGCAACAAGAGAAAAAAACGTGGGCTGAGTGTAGTGGCTCACACTTGTAATCCTAGCCCTTTCAGAGGCTGAGGTGAGCAGATTACCTGAGGTCAGGAGTTCAAGACCAGCCTGGCCAACATGGCAAGACCCTGTCTCTACTAAAAATATGAAAATTGGTTGGGTGTGGTGGTACATGCCTGTAATTCCAGCTACTCAGGAGACTGAGATAGGAGAATTGCTTGAACCTGAGAAGCATAGGTTGTGTTGAGCCAAGATTGTGCCACTGCACTCCAGCTTGGGCAACAGAGTGAGGCTCCAACTCAAAAAAAAAAAAAAGTGAAATGGACTTCCTCAAAATTAACAGCTTTTGTATTTTAAAAGATGCCACAAAAATGAGAGGACAACACACAGAATGGGAGAAGGTAATTGCAAGTGAGATATGTGATAAGGGATGTATATCTGGAATATATAGAGAACACTGACAATTTAATATCATAACAAAAAGAAAAATAGCCCTATTTAAAGATAAGCAGCAAAGGATTTGAATAGACATTTTCCCGAGGAAGATATCACATGTCCAACAAGCACATGGAAAAAGACTCAAGATCATTATTAGTTATTATTGAAAATACTAAAAAAACATTAAAACCATTGAATTGTTCTCTTTAAATAGGTGAATTGTGTGGTATATTAACACTATCTCAACAAAGCTGTTTTTAAAAATGACATGAAAAATTTTGCATAATTAGAAGTCCCATCCATGGCACTAAAGGGAGGACAGTTTTCCAGCGGTCATGTTAGAACATAATGATTAGATTTTATTATAAATATGAAGTTTTCATGAGGGGCAGATAGACGCTGCTGAACCCAGCCTGAGTCTGATTTCAGCACCAGTTTGCTGGACAGCTCCCTAAGTTCCCTGTGAGCTCAGATTCAACTTAACACTACCAGAGTGCCACTTAAGGGTGACAAACACATTCTGCCCCAGAGTCTTCCCTGGTGTGTGTGTGTGTGTGTGTGTGTGTGTGTGTGTGTGTGTGTGTGAGGGGGCATTCCTCATCTGAGAAAGTTCAACCTGGAAATGAGGGAGAGTAAATGTCCATGGGGCAACTCTCAACTAATGAGGGCATTCTTCAGCTCCCCCATCCTGCAGGTGGACCATGGCAGATGCTGTGTATGCTTCCTAGATATCCCCAGAACCCCCATCACCTACTGCAACATGCTTGATAATGTGTGTGTGTGTTTTGAGATGGAGTCTCGCTCTGTTGCCCAGGCTGGAGTGCAGGGGTGCAATCTTAGCTCACCGTAACCTCTGTCTCCTGGGTTCAAGCGATTCTCATGCCTCAGCCTTCTGAGTAGCTGGGATTACAGGCATGCACCACCACGCCCGGCTAATTTTTGTATTTTTTTGTATTTTTCTATTTTTTTTTTTTTTTTTTTTTTAGTGAAGACAAGCTTTCACATGTTGGTCAGGTCTCGAATTCCTGACCTCGTGATCCGCCCCCCTCAGCCTCCCTACAAAGGACTTAAAAATAATAAGTCCTAAGACGATGTTGTATCCCTAAATCCTAGAAAAGTATCTGGCACTTAATAAATATTTGTTGAATTGATGAATAAACTGCTTTTGCTTGTGTGCAAAAGCAGTGCAAGCTTAAAATAGCACTTAAAATTCTGGTCTTGCATGTTGAGTTGTTATACTAGAATTCA